GGAGTTAATACAAACAATCATTTGCGTACATTAATGTGTAATTGTAAAATGTACGTTTAAAATCTAATGATTTTGAATGTAAATTTTAAAATCTAGTTATCTAACAAATCAAAGCTACGCGAGTAAAATTCAATTTTGGAAACTTTCAAGCTTTTTAAAAGTAAATAAATTAAATTTAAATTTATCATTAAATCAAAAAAAAAAAAAAAAAAAAAAAGAAAAAGAAAGATTTTAAACAGATAGTTGAAATTCCAACGAAAACACGACTGCACACACTGGCGCAAAACCAAAAAAAAAAAAGATATTTTTATAAATACTTCTATTCCTTATATAAATTTAGGGCTATTTATAATATTATAATATTTTGCAACTAATGTTCACAGTTCATTCAAAGTTTTAAAAATAAACTGAAAACTAAAATTAAAATTTATGATTAAACCCGGTTTAATCATAAATTAAAAGCGGGTGTAAAAAAAAAACTTGCATGGATTGTAATAATTTTCTTATGACAGTTTTACCAAGTAACTTTAACAACCAAGTTTTTTTTTATAGGGGTGCTCCCACCCCATCGTTAGCTTCGGTCTTCATTATTTACATGTTATCTTTAAATGTTCCACTCACAAGTCCGTTAAAAAAAGAAAAATGAACTTTTTTTTAAAGAAAGATTCTCACTGATTAGAAATACTTAATCAAAAAGATTACTTTTATCACTAGATTAAAAACCGAGTGATAATAGTTTCGGACCAGTAGTAACCAAAATCAAAAATTGATTGAAAAAAATAAAATAAAAAACGAAATACTTGTTTTTTCTTTCTTTTTTAAATAATTTTTTTTTCTGCCAATTTATCTATATATTGGAAAGAATCAAACCAGTGGCGGATTTAGTGTAAGGCGTGGGGGGGGGGGGCGAGCTGCTCCCTTAGAACCCTAACCCCCCTAACCCTAACCCTAACCCCCACATCCCCTAGAACGGTCTAACGGCGCCCCCTAAAACAATCAAAAAAAAAATTATAAGATCAAATTACTGAAGACAACCTTTTTTAAATAATTTTTTTTTTCTGCCAATTTATCTATATATTGGAAAGAATCAAACCAGTCGCTTTTATTCATTGACTTGGCCCCCCCTCCCTCCCCCCCCCCCCCACCCACCCCCGCGACACTAAACCTCAATCCGCCACTGAATCAAACTATGAATCTTGTATAACACTAAAACTAGTTTTTTTCAGTTTTCAAATTATGGAGAGACGGTTAATTGAATAGTAGATTACAAATCAGATATATTTGCGTTCCGTGATTTATGTAGTTTAAGTTTTGATTCCTTTGTGACAATTAGTTCTAACTTAAGTTTTAGTTTTTCTTTTAAATTATAAAAAAATTTTCATTCGTAATTTAGTTTAGGTTTTGTTTAACAAACTTAATTTAATATTAGTTTAACAACTCTAGTTTTTGATTCTTTTTTATCCACTACCTTTTATTTTAACTTTTTTTTTTATTTTTAACGTGCTAACAAAATTGAGCAACATATAGCAATAATTTAGCTGCATCCTCTGAGATTTAACAGAATTTTAACAATATATATATATATATATATATATATATATATATATATATATATATATATATATATATATATATATATATATATATATATATATATATATATATATATTACAATACATGCAACAAAAGCATTATGTATCACACACAAAGAATACGTTGTTTATCAGTCATTCTACCATACGTTTCATCACACATTTAATCATACATTTTATTAGGAATGAGCTGAAATTCCGGTCAGAATTTGTGATTCTTATGTCATTCCGGTTCCAGCTGGAATTATAATATATTTCAAGCCAGAATGACGAAATTTATTTTTTACTATTTTTTTTTAAAACTGTGTAAATTAAATCAAAAAATCATCAATCCTACAGGACAATGATGAGCTATAGGTAAACCTAGGAAAAAAAGCAACAAATTTTTAATAAACACGATGTAATTTTAAGTAAAGCTAAAGTTAAGCGGTTTAAAATAATTTTATTTTTTCGCTCGTTGCGCAAACGTCAGTGGTGGGTTTTGAAACACTAGAAATTTTAAATGAAATAATAAAAGAAAAATGACTGCTGCCTTATGCCAAATCCTCAGTCGATGTAGCAGCATATCCTTGTAGCAGCAGGCTATAAGATAGCCGATGTAAGTACTAAAGCCAATAAATATTCTTTACGTTTATATTAAAAAGTCACCACTTTTAGCAAGTCTCCACACGAAAGCACAACAAGCGAAAAAATTAAAATTATTTTAGACCGCTTAACTGTCACTTTGCCTAACTTTATTTGCAGTAATCACTTATGTAAGGATTTCTAAAAGTTTAGGAATATTGTTGTGCAAAAAGAGTTGCTATCCAGTTTTGGGCAACAAACAATTTTTTCATCAAAAATGTTATCTGAGAATAGTATCATTTTTAATGTTAACTTTTAAATAGTTAAAAAGTATAGGATGTCTATAACAGCAAATATTTCAATTTTAACCTAAATGTAAAAATATAAAACAAAGAAATGATTTTAAATACAAATATTATGCAGGTTAAAACTTTCAATAAATAAAATTGTAAGAAACAAATACAAATAACATATTAGATTTAAATGAAATGAGAATAAAAT